ATTAATGAAAGGTTACAATTAAGACTCTTTTGCTTCTTTTGGTTGAGCAAATACATGTTAGAAATAAAAAATCACAACATCGAAACCTGATTAATCTTTTATTAATTTGCTTGATATAACATGTAATGATTGTTGAATTGTAATCTTGTCTTGGCCCAAAGATAATGGATCTAGCCCATACACAAAGAAAGATCTATGCACATGCTAGAGAATTCTAGCAAAGTTCAAGCTAGTGGAACAGTCTAGAAGAATGGTGAGGATTCCACCAACATACAAGATTAATGTAGATAATTCTAGCTTAGGAAGGTAGTGGAATTATCTAGATATCTCTAGCATGATGCTTCTATGCTTCTCCAAGGTTCCATCCATGCCTATAAAAAGAGAAGGCATCCACACCATTTGAAACAATCAAGAGAGCAAATAGTGAGAAGTGAGAAGAAGCAACAAAGCTTCTAAGAGTGTTTGAGTGTTTTCTCTTGTACTAAGTTTGTGAGTGAATAAAAAATCTTGTGTAATACTTTAAGTATTCTTTCTTTCTCTTGCCTATCAATTCCGCTGCATTACATTCTTCTTTGTGAGATAAATGTCTCCAATGTAGAGAAGTCTTTTTAAGCCCCAACAAAGTGGTATCAGAGCTATGGCTAGCAACGCTATGGCAGCCTTCCAAGTTCCAGTTCTCAACAACAACAACTTCGATAATTGGAGTATCAAAATGAAGGCCCTTTTGGGAGCACACGATGTATGGGAAGTCATAGAGAAAGGCTACACTGAGCCAGAAGATGAAGCTACTATGTCCCAACTCCAGAAGGAGAGTTTGAAAGATTCAAGAAAGAGAGACAAGAAGGCTCTCTACCTCATCTACCAAGTATTAGATGACAATGGCTTTGAGAAGGTCTCGAGTGCAACCTCTGCCAAGCAAGCATGGGAGAAGCTTTAAACTTCTTACAAAGGAGCCAAACAAGTGAAAAAGGTTCGTCTTCAAGTATTAAGAGGTGAGTTCGAATCCTACATATGAAAGGGTCTGAATCAATCTCTGATTATTTCTCAAGAGTCTTAGCCGTTTCCAATCAATTAAAAAGAAATGGAGAAAAGTTAGAAGATGTTAGAATTATGGAGAAGATACTACGCTCGTTGGACCCCAAGTTTGAGCACATTGTCGTGATGATTGAAGAAACAAAAAACTTGAAAGAAATTAGTATAGAGTAATTAATGGGTTCGTTACGAGCATATGAAGAGAAACATAAGAAGAGGCAAGGGAATGATGAGCAGCTCCTCAAGACGCATGTCCAGCCAAAGAAGAAAGAAGAAAGAAGAAAGCTTGGACAACGAGAGAAGCCAATACAAAAGAAGTCGTGGTCGAGGTCGAGGATGTGGACATGGACGTGGACGTGGTTGGAACTTCAACAATCACAACAACTACGAAAGAGGAGGAAGCTTAACAAATGGTCAGAGTTTAGTTGGAAGCTTACGCTACTTGACTTGCATAAAACCAGATATTCTCTGTACCGTCAGATTAGTCAATCGCTACATGGAGAATCCCACAACTACACATTTGAAGACCGCCAAAAGAATTCTTCGATACCTTAAAGCTACTGTTAACTTTGGCTTGTTCTATTCAAGTTCTGATAACTACAAACTTGCTGGATATAACGACAGTGATTGGGCAGGAGATTCCGACAATAGAAAAAGCACTACTGGATTTGTGTTCTTCATGGGAGACACTGCATTCACATGGATGTTGAAGAAGCAACCGATTGTTACTCTCTCTACCTGCGAAGCCGAATACGTAGCTGCTACCTCATGTGTATGTCATACAATCTGGCTAAGAAACTTGCTAAAATAATTAAGCATGCCATAAGAAGAACCAACAGAGATCTATGTCGACAACAAGTCTGCAATAGCTCTAGCAAAGAATCCAGTATTCCATGACAGGAGCAAACACATAGATACCTGTTATCATTACATAAGAGAGTGTATTGCAAGAAAGGATATGCAAGTGGAATACGTGAAGTCACAAGACCAAGTCGCCAACATATTCACCAAACCACTCAGGCAAGAAGACTTTGTCAGATTGAGGAACACAATCGGCGTCACAAGACAAGATTAAGGGGGGATGTTGAATTGTAATCTTGTCTTGCCCAAAGATAATGGATCTAGCCCATACACAAAGAAAGATCCATGCACATGCTAGAGAATTCTAGCAAAGTTCAAGTTGGTGGAATAGTCTAGAAGAATGGTGAGGATTCCACCAATATACAAGATTAATGTAGATAATTTTAGCTTAGGAAGGTAGTGGAATTATCTAATATCTCTAGCATGATGCTGTTTGGTTCTCCTCTCATCTAGTACGTGTACATGGGCTATGCTTCCAAAAACTCTTAGATGAGAGATACCTAGCTTTCTTCCACTCCATGCTTCTTGCGGAGTCTTTCCCCACACACTTCTTGTTGGAGATCGATTGGATAGGTAGACAGCACATGCTACAGCTTCTGCCCATAACTCCTTAGGCAATCTCTTACTTTTGAGCATGCTTCGAGCCATGTCGAGGATGGTTTGATTTTTTCTTTCCGCCACACCATTTTGTTGAAAGGATCTTGGAACTATCAAAGGTCAACGAATTCCATTGGCTTCACAGAATTCTTGAAATTCCTTCGAAGTGAATTCTCCTCCTCGATCAGATCTCATGGCTTTGATCTTACAACCATTTTCTTTTACTACGGCGGCTTTGAATTTCTTGAATGCTCCAAATACCTCTGATTTCTGCTTCAAGAAATACACCCAGGTTTTCCTTGAAAAATCATCAATGAAGAGAAGGAAATAATTATTTTTACCCAAAGAGCTTGGTTTTATTGGACCGCACACATTGGTGTGAATGAGCTCGAGTGGCTTTTAGGCTCTTGTGGTCGACTCCTTTGGAAAGCTTTTCCTGAACTATTACCCAAGTAAACATCCTTCGCAAGCTTGATCAGGGCGACTGATGCACGGTAAGCCTCTCACCATCTCCTTCTTGGACAATAACTCTAGTCCCCCAAAGTTAAGATGCCCAAAACGAAGATGCCAAAGCCAGGATGTGTCTTTGTAACATGTTTTGAGGCACTTTGCAACATCATTTTGAATATTCATAGGAAACATTCTATTCTTTGACATTTTCACCTTGGCAACTAATCTTCCTTTGTCATCTTTAAGAAAAAGGCTATCATTTTTCATGTGAATATCATAACCTTTTTCTCAGAGTTGACCCAATCTCAAAATGTTGATTTTCATATTGGGCACATAGTAGACATTTGAAATTAATTGGTGACCGTCATTTTTTAGGGGAATTAGGATGTTACCTTTTCCTTTGACGGGTATTTTGGATTCGTCTCCAAAAGAAACGTTGTCACTCACCGATTCATTGAGCTCTACGAACATGCTTCTTCTTCCGCACATGTGGTTGCTGGCGCCGATGTCAAGATACCATGTATAGTCTTGGTCTCCATCATTGTTTTGGCATGCTAGTAGCACAACGCCATTATCTTCTTTCTCTTCTTTCACATAATTGACCTTCTCATCAAGCCTGTTGCTTGGAGCTCTACATTCCCAAGCATAATGCCCAAACTTTTGACAATTGTTGCATTGAACTTGAGATTTTTCATACCTCAAGTTTGAGCGTCCTCTTCCACGACCATTTGTTGAGCTTAGGAAGGTAGTGGAATTATCTAGATATCTCTAGCACGATGCTTCCATGCTTCTCCAAGGTTCCATCCATGCCTATAAAAGGAGAAGGCATCCACACCATTTGAAACAACCAAGAGAGCAAGTAGTGAGAAGTGAGAAGAAGCAACAAAGCTTCTAAGAGTGTTTGAGTGTTTCCTCTTGTACTAAGTTTGTGAGTGAATAAAAAATCTTGTGTAATATTTTGAGTATTCTTTCTTTCTCTTGCCTATCAATTCTGCTGCATTACATTCTTCTTTGTGAGATAAACGTATCCAAAGTAGAGAAGTCTTTTTAAGCCCCAACAATGATGTGGGATTAATTAATATAGTACAACCTATTGCCTAATTAACCTTCGAATGGAGGATGATTTATGGATTTTTAAGAGGTGCAAGTAGAGGCACATGCATGCTAGGTCTCATCCATAAAAGAGTTTAAGAAAATAAACATAATTAAGATAGAGACGTTTTTTAATGCATGAGAAGTGGTATTATTGGTTGTAACTAAAGGTCCATTAGCTGCTGTGTGTGTTGCCTATACTCAAATTTCTTGCGGTGCCCTAATTCGTCAATATTTTGTTATTATATGTATGTTTCCCATGGCGCGCAGTAGAGGTTCAAAGACTCGAAGAGGGTGTAGACCATAAATGGCATTCTAATACTTTCATGTTAATTATGTTACTGAAGCAAATTGCAGACCCTTAATTGTATCAGCAACTGTTATAGTTATGCAAAAATGTCAAAAAGCTAGACAGAACAAATTTGACACATTTAGATGGGGTACCTTAAATTCACTACGATTAATTTGATGATCCGTGAACTTATTTTTACAAGATAAAGGAGATGTACATGCTAGAAGGTTACTGTAAAGAACAGGAATTTTGAAAGATGCATGTCATCATATCAAAAGAACAACCATTAAGAATTTTGTAGATTTTAATTGTAGATGTAAAACAAAAACAATGATAAAAACAAGAACAATACAAGGCAATTCGGTAGAAAAATTAATGAGAAGATCATAGTGCAGCAGATAGGGGCAATAGACGTATAGTAGGTAGAAAGTAAAAAGAAATCGGTCATAATATTATCAAATCTTATGTTAAGCTATATATCATCATGCATGGTTTATAGTTTGTGCTAAATTAATTATAAGAAAAAAGTCCGTATATGGTATTGTTAATAAGCTGTACAAATTGCAATAATACTTAATAATCAAGTTAATTGCAACAAGAAATTGTCTTCTCCTCCATTGTATTTGAAATAGAGACCTACCGATATTTATGTAACCAAACCTAGACAACTTAAGGAAAATACATGTGTATTACGATGAAATTCTTAAATACCTTTTTGTGCTAAAGAAAATAGTTGGCTAGCTGCTGGAGGAGTTTCTTGTTACTATTATATACCTAGGTAGGTTAAAATAAATTAACCATGCCCAAGTCGAAGTTCCAAATCCACTTCATCGTTACTCCTCACACCCCTTCTGAATTCATCATCCTCCAACTGCAAGCTCAAATTCGTACCCCAAAGTTCTTGGTTCATACCCAAAGAGTGTGACCTTGACCCAACTGATGAATCGTCAAGATCATAACCGTATGGGATTCTAGGGTTAGACCCAGTTGGCTGAAAATACCTTTGGTAATTCATCTGATCGAAAACTGGGTAGTACCCAGAAACCCCCTGGCTTGAAAGTGGTACGCTACTATATTGATGATGATGATGAGAAGTACTCATGGATATGTATTGATCCTCATTCGAGTAGTGGTTTGCATTAAGTGATGATTTACCTGAGATGTGTTGCATCGGTTTGACTCGGTCTTTCCTGTGGATGTTCATGTGACCTCCCAAGGCTTGAGCATTGGTAAACCCCCTCTTGCAAAACGTGCATTCGTAGCTTCGTTTCACTGTTGCAGCACCTGAATTGTGATCATCTGATCTGACTTGATCTTCATCACTTGAGCTCGTCTGCGGGGTTCTTGGTCTCCAAGATTCCATGTCAAAACACCTTGTTCCCCAACTGAATTTCTTATGGTTTTCTTCACTTGGAATCACTAAGCCGAAGAATCAATAGAGAGATAGAGGGTTGGTTGTATTATATGTAGGGAGGAAACCAATTTAAGTGTGAAATGTAGATGCAACTACAAGACACACTGGCATTGCTATATATTGTGGCTTTATAATAAGCAGAACACAGTTTTGGCATTTGTTGAAAGACTTTTTCATCTAGCCGGCTAAGAAATGGTTCCATTTTAACTATCTTATTTATTTAATTTTGTATTCTTACCCATAATTTCTTTCTGCCCCTAATTTTGGGTTTGTTTCCAGTTGTTATTTGTCATCATCTCTATTTGTGTGTGTGTGTGATTATTTTCTGCAGACACTTCATGATGAGTAAGATAGCTAGGGATACTATTTGTTGGGAAATTACAAAGAAATTATGATATTCTTCTAAGAATCACATAGACAATTAAGCTGAGGCACGGGTATCTCATTTTCTTTAAGGAGATTCAAGCCCACTGCGGTTTGACAAAGTCCACAAATCGGTGGTTCAGAAATATATCCCTTGACTTGTCCCCTAAAGGATACAATAGTCCAAATGAATCGTTATGTGACTCAAATGTATTTGCACAAAAAGGAAGAGACTAAAACTCCACAACACGAACACCTTTCTTTGGCCAATACGTAAAAATGAAAAATGGAGGAATGTAGAAAATAAATGTTGTACAACAAACTGGGTAGTGGGATAATGAATAAAAAGATGATGGAAAAAATGCTACTAATTATAGATATATTATCATGAATAGGGTAATGAACACAAATTAACAAGTAATGAACATGAATTATAGATTTATTATCGTGAATCATTTTTAATATTATTTGTCATCATCTCTATTTGTATTTGTGATTATTTTCCGCATCTAGGGCTACTATTTGTTGAGAAAATTACAAGGAAATTATGATATTCTTCTAAGAATCACGTGACAATTAGGCTGAAACACGAGTAGCTCATTGTGGTTTGACAAAGTCCATGAACCGGTGCAGAAGTATATCTCTTGACTTGTTCCCCCATGATACAACAAGCCAAATGAATTGTTGTGTGACTCAAATGTATATGCACAAAAAGGAAGAGTGTAAAGCTCCACAACGTGAATTGTTGTAAAGCATGTCATTATGAGCATTTGTAAATATATATATATATATATATATATATATATATATATATGTACGTACATAAGTATATTTTTTTTTCACACTTCTACATTAAGTAAAAACTAGTCAAAAGCCTTACTACAACTTTTGGAGACAATATAACACTTGAAGACAACAGATCAAGCCAAAGTTCTAATACCATTTCCCTTGGTGATTGATGAAAATTGAAGGGTTTTTTTTTTTTTTTTTTTTTTTTTTTTTTGCAAAAAGCACATGCATGTTTTGAGTCTCATTGGCAAGGCTCTACAACCTTAAAAAAAAAATCCCTTATTTTGCATATCCTTCAACATTTGATATTTTGTAATAATGTACTAATGTTTTTTCATTAGACTCTTATTTTGGGTATGTAATACTTGAAAGACAAATGTGTTTTAGGTTTTGAAGTACTAATTTAGTATTACGTTTTTCTTTTGATTATTTCTTGATGTAAAATATATATTTTCTTTGGATAACTGGTCAAGTGATATTACTATTATTAATAGGTCGAGTTCGGGTTAGGTCATATTATCCGTTCATTTTAAAGGGTGTTATATGATACGACGCATTAAGATATCATGTATATCACGAAAACGACACAAACATAAGAAACACAACACGAATACCAAGTCTAAATTTTCACACCTTCAAGTAATTATAATTTCAAACCTAAATACCACACTGCAAATTATATGCTCTAAGAAACGAGCTCTCTTAATTACTACACATCCTATACGTCAGCTCTTTTCTCTATCCTATTAATTGACAAGTTAATAATTGGAAACTGATGATGTGATTAATTTTTCAGTTTGCTTCGTTTCCATAACTATCTAGAGGTGATGAGCTAATTATCCCGTGTCTAACTTACTTTAGTATGCATTCTTTGATTCAAGAAAAGGGATTAGAACAGTCAAACACCGATTATGTGTCAGAGAACGTTAAGTTCTCGATCATCTGCCACCATGGTTATAACCCTCCATATTAAACGAGACTTATCAGCGTTGCCTTAGGCAGTTGTTGCTCGTACTGTCTTATTATCATCACAAATTCCAAATATCATTTTAAAGTAGTTAGAGAAAGAATGCAAGATGAAAAACAGAGAACGAGAGAATATGTAGATTTTCTGGTTTAAAGTTTCAATGTATATTTCCTGTATGTTTGTACAAGAGTGAGTCCGGGTATATATGAAAAGAGAGAGGGAAAAGAGATGGGAAGGATGGCTGTAGCAAGTAGCCGACAAGAAAGAAGAAGGCGTGTTGCCTACATAATCTAAACCTTACACAAAGACATTACCCCAATCAATCTCCTCCCTTAAATCAAGGGAAAGGTGATTTACATACCCTTACCCTAAAGCTAGATCAAGGAGGTTAATCAAGCCAAGTTTGCCCAGAAAATGATGGAATGGAGCAGAGGCCAGAGCCTTGGTAAAGAGATTTCCTAGTTGATCATGGCTTCGTGTAAAGATGGTTCGAATGACTTGAGTTTGCACTTGCGCTCTAACAAAATGACAGTCCACTTCAATGTGTTTCATTCTTTCATGGAACACAGGATTAGCAGCAATGTGCATGGCTGCTTGATTATCACACATACGAGACATGGGAGTAGTACTAGTAAACCCTAAGTCTGAAAGAAGCCCTTTAATCCATATAAGTTCATATGCAGTGGCTGTCATGGCTCGATATTCAACATTTGTGCGCGAACAATGACATGTTGCTTCTTGCTCTTCCAAGTGACAAGATTTCCACCAACAAACGTGCAACAGCCTATGGTAGATTTCCTATCAATTGCATACGTTACCTAATCTGCACTAGTGTAGCCACTGATGGCAGTGGAATTGTTGTTACGCATGATGATTCCTTGTCCTATCGAACCCTTGAGATAAGCAAGACTCTCTTAATCATGTTAAGATGATCAACCATAGGAGAATGCATAAACTAGCTTGCCAAGCTCACTACATATGTGATATCAAGACGTGGAATGGTGAGATATATAAGTTTGCCCACTAATCGTTGATAGTAGCTCACATCATGCATGGCTTCTCCATCTGTGTTGAGCTTTGGTTTAGAGTCCACAAGAGTGATGGCAGGTTTGCAATCAAGCATTTTTGCTTCCTGAAGAAGATCCAATACATATTTTCGTTGATGTAGAAACAATCCCTTTGAAGAGGTTGCAATTTCGATGCCCAAAAAATACTTCAGCTTTCTCAAGTCTTTGATAGCAAAGGTTTGGCGTAGTGAGAGTTTTAGGGCTCAAGTTCAGCGACACTATCTCCTGTGATGATGAGATCATCCACATAGATAAGCACCACCAATTTCCCACTAGTGCCAGTTCTTACAAACAAGGAGGAATCAACATTACTTCATAGGAATCCAGCCTTCTCTAAAACTGAGCTGAACTTGGCATACCAAGCTCTTGGGGATTGTTTCAATCCATAGATTGCCTTGTGTAGTTTACAAACCATGTTGCCTTTAATACCATCATAACCTGGAGGAGGTTGCATGTACACTTCTTCTTGTAACTCTCCGTGAAGGAAAGCATTCTTCACATCCATTTGATAAAGAGTCCACCCACAATTGTTTCCAACTAAGAGTAAAACCCTCACTGAATTCATCTTGGCTACAGGTGCAAATGTTTCCTTGTAATCTACCCTAAAGGTTTGAGTGAACCTTTGAGCAACAAGCCTGGCCGTGTGTCTCTCGATAGAACCATCAGCCTTGAATTTAATCTTGTAAATCCAACGACTTCTAACAGCCTTTTTTCTTGGTGGTAGTTGAACCAAGCTCCAAGTTTTATTTTCTTCTAGAGAATGAAGCTAAACAACCATGGCTTGATTCCATTATGGGAGGAGAGATGCCTCTTGAAAGGTTCTTGGTTCACTGTGTTTATCAATTTCACAGAGAAATGCAGTATGAGATGTTGAGAACTCACCAAGGTTGATACTTTCACTGATAGGATACCGTGAGGCATAAGTAACATAGTCTTACAACCTAGTTGGAGGTTTTCTGGTTCGAGGATGATTTCTTCTAAGCCCTTGAGACTCTATAGGAGATTGTGAATGATCAAAATGAGACTTCTCATTTCCCTCATTGGCAAGGATACGATGATCAGAGATTGAATCAGGTTGTATTTCTTCAATATCTGGTGTCACAGCAACTGAGCTTTCTTCCAACACTGGATCATTAATGTCGGAGGAAGTGGAAACATTTCAAACAGTTCATCCCTCTGACCTGCAGTATTCCCTTTATGAGTAAAATAAGGGCAATTTTTTGAAATTTCACATCCCTTGACACAACACACTTCTTAGTGGCTGGATTGTAGCACTTGTATCCCTTTTGGGTGGAAGAATACCCCACAAACACACACTTGGTTGCCCTGGCAGCTAATTTGTCATGGTTCAAGGCTTGAATGTGAACAAAGCAAACACATCCAAATACCTTAAGGTGTGTCAAATCAAATTTTCTACCCTTGAGTACTTTATAGGGAGATTTAAACCCTAACACACGACTTGGGAGTCGGTTAATGAGGTAAGTGGCAGTGAGGATGGCTAATGACCAAAATTTCTTTGGAACCTGCATATGAAGCTGTTTGGACCCGATTTTATATTATCGTCCCGTGCAATCAAGGTCGTTGAGTAAGCATAGCTCCAACCGTTGGATAAAAAATGAAGATGATTTTGTTATTATTAAAGGATAATATTATCTTTTAGTGATTTATCTTGACATTTTCTTATGAAAGATGAAAATATATCTCCAACTGGAAACATGGCAACACAATTCGAGCTGAGTTGGATGTTTGGCATGTGGATGTGTGGTTTGGATCAGTTTTGGTGGACAGATATGCATGCATACGATAAGGGTGAAGTAAAAATGGTGATAAGATGGCAACACAATCTGATTAGAATCGTAGGGATACAT